GCGCTAGCCCTACAGCCTGTTCCACAGGGGAGCAAACCCTGCCCCTTCCCGCCCACCAGAACAAGTGGGAACCTTGTAGAGATTTCCTCCCCTTTGTCCTCTCTTGTAGGTTTCCTGTGGAGGGTGGGTCTCTAGTCCCTCTCTAATTAAAGAAAAGATGAACTGAGAATGGGAAACACTCCCACACCCATTTCGTTTCTTGTCTCACTGAAAACATGAACATCAACGCAGCCTTCTTCCTGCAATCACTGTGCCATGAACACTCTGTAAGCAAATCTGCATAGTCAGTAACAAGGAAGGAAGTGCTTCCATTTAAAAAAAATAAATGAAAATGCACTCTAAGACCTTGGCTACACTTGCAGATGTACAGCGCTGTGAGTTAAACCTGACTTCGTGCAGCTGAGTAGGGAAAGCGCTGCAGTCTGTCCACACTGATTGCTGCCCAGAGTACTGTCTTGGCCACATTTGCGGCAATTGCAGCGCTATTGGGAGCGGTGCATTATGGGCAGCTATCCCACAGAGCACCTCTTCCCATTCTGGCGCCGTGGGTTGTGGGAAGGGGGCGTGGGTGCCGGGCATTCTGGGTCCTGTCCCAACGCCCTGTGATGCATCGCTTCGCATCCCAGAAATCCCTTTGTTTCCGTCCACCTTTGGCGCCATCTTTCAACGGTTTCTGTGCAGCGCGATCTGTCTGCGGGAAATGGAGCCCAAACTGCTGAGGCGTATGCTGACTTATCTCGCCAGCACGTCACGTTTGGCTGTCGAACTATTCCTTAAGATCCAAAGTGACAGTGAGAGTGAGGAGTCCGAGTGGTGGGATCACATCGTCATGGAAATCTGGGATGACGAGCAGTGGCTGCAGAACTTTTGGATGAGAAAAGCCACTTTCACGGGACTGTGTGAGGAGCTTGCCCCCACCCTGCGGCGCAAGGACACGAGATTGAGAGCTGCCCTGCCAGTGGAGAAGCGAGTGGCTATTGCAATCTGGAAGCTGGCAACTCCAAACAGCTACCGTTCGGTCGCAAACCAGTTTGGAGTGGGAAAGTCGACCGTTGGAATCGTGTTGATGAAAGTTTGCAAGGCCATTAATCGCATCCTACTCAGAAGAACCGTGACTCTGGGTAACGTGCAGGACATAGGGAACCCCATTTGTGCAAAGCCGTCCACTAACTGTTGAAGGGCGATAGATGGGAGGCACATTCCTATTCTGGCACCACCCCACCTAGGATCCGAGTACGTTAATCGGAAGGGGTATTTCTCTATGGTTCTCCAGGCGCTTGTGGATCACCGTGGGCATTTCATTGACATTAACACAGGCTGTCCCAGAAAGGTGCATGACGCACGCATCTTTCGGAACACTTGGCTGTTCAGGAATATGCAGGCCGGGACTTTTTTCCCAGAGCGGAAGATCACGGTAGGGGAAGTCGAAATGCCCATTGTGATCCTTGGAGATCCCGCTTACCCGTTAATGCCGTGGCTCATGAAACCCTACACAGGGAACCTTGACAGCAGCAAGGAACGGTTCAACTACAGGCTTAGCCGGTGCCGAATAACTGTGGAGTGTGCCTTTGGCCGTTTAAAGGCCCACTGGCGATCTCTGTATGGGAAGCTGGACTTGGCCGAAAACAGCATCCCCGCGGTTATATCCGTGTGCTGTGCCCTCCATAATATTTGTGAAGGGAAGGGTGAAAGCTTCACTCAAGCATGGACCTCCGAGGTTCAACACCTGGAGGCTGAATTTGCACAGCCAGAGATCAGGGCTGTTACAGGGGCCCAGCCCGGGGCTGCAAGGATTAGAGATGCCTTGAGGGAGCAATTTGAGGCTGAAAACCAGCAGTGATATCTGGTGCCCTGCACGGGAGTGAAGTGCAGTAGTTCCAATCTTGTGTTTGCTAAGCAGACAAGCAGACTTGCAGTGCCTGTTTATTTCCTGGGCTAAGGAGTCTTTTACTTTATGCAATAATAAAGAATGTTTTCAAAGCCAAAAAATCCATTTATTGAAAAGAAAACAAATTTATTTATTGAAAAGAAACAAGGGGGTGGAGTGGGGAACAGTATAATCACAGATTCGCGTATGTCCTGTCTGGTGTGCTGTGCAGTAAGTGCTGCACTTCAGGACAGCTATACTGCATGGTGATGGGGGTTGAGTGCAGAGGGTAAGGGTCGTGGTTTTCAGGGCTGGGTGGTGAAGATACTGGTGTTGGAGGCAGCGGGTGGCGTGAAGAACACGGAAGTTGGGGAAAGTGGGTTGGAGGTGACAGTGGGGCACAACGGAAAGAGTTTTGGGACAAGGGCTGTGGGGGGGGGGTGGCGTTTGCGGTACTGCTCCTCTTTCTGCATGGCTACGAGCTCCAGGATAGCGTCTGCTTGGCGCTCCAGGATGCTTATGAGCCGATCCGTGCTTTGCCGCCGGTGCTCCGTGCTTTGCCGCCAGTGCGCTGCGTTTTCCTGGCGGATCCTGCTTTCTCTCTCCCTCCAGTTCTGTCCTTTCTCATTCTCTTTAATAGATTGCCGCATCACTTCTTGCAGCATGTCTTCTTTGCTTTTTGCGGTCTCTTCCTGAGTCTTTGCAGTCTCTGAGCAGGCTATAAGAGGGATGGCTGAGGTCTCAAGGTTGATGCAGCTGTATAGGCAAAATGCAACATTTAACAGAGGCAGCATTGTTTATACCAGACAGAGTAATGATTCCCCCCACACTTAAGGAGTAGAAAACACACAGGGTCTACAAAATAGCATAATTTTCCCATCCGAAACAGAGCACACATATCCCACAGGAGCCTCAAAATGGTGAGTAAGGGGAATTGATTGTTTCAGGGCTGCACTGTCCTCTGGGTTTCTGTGCCTTGGGGAGAGCCAACAGCTTCAGGGGGCACCTACACTGTCCCAACATTTTTCACAGGAGTTCGTCCTGGACGATATCTCGCTGCTGAGGGTGACCTGGGAAGCAAGGGAGGGTCTTCTACTGCAATGCGGCTTCCGCCCTGGCCCATATGCAGCTTGCCTGTGTGCAGCAATGGTCCCCCTACCCCTCGCGGCACAGTGGCGCGGACAGGTTAGCCTGGCTGGGACAAGGACCACGGTGGCTCTCCCGATAAACCTGCACAAGCGCATTGCACACGTTCTGGATGAGACATTCGAGGAGATTACCGAGGCCGATTACCACGATGTAATAAACCACATCAATGCACTATTCCACATCTAGGCATGCATGCCTAACCCTCCTCTCGCAAAGAGCCCGCACAGAAAAAATTCCTTCCCGAAAAAAAAACTGCTTACCGGGAACCTGCTCTTCTGTTTGTCCTCCACCAAGTCCGGCCGCTGCGACTGGCTACCTTCCTCCTGGCTCGAGAAGAGCTCCTGGCTGCATGGCTCCAGGGATTCCGGGGTGTCTCCATCCGGCCCACCACCATCACTCCCGTTTTCCTCCTTCTCCTCCTCCTCCTCCCCCCCCCACACCGGCTCTGAAGTGTCCATGGTGGTGCTCGGAGTGGAGGTGGGGTTAACCCCAAGTATCGCCTCCAACTCTTTGTAGAATCGGCAGGTCGCGGGGGGGAGCACCCGAGCGGCCGTTTGCGTCGCGGGCTTTGCGGTAGGCACTCCGCAGCTCCTTCACTTTAATCCTGCACTGCAGGGCGTCCCGGTCATGGCCCCTTTCCATCATGTCCTTTGATACCTTCCCGAAGGTATCGTAATTCCTACGGCTAGAGCACAGCTGGGACTGTACAGCTTCCTCCCCCCAAACCCTGATGAGGTCCAGCAACTCGCCATTGCTCCATGCTGGGGCTCGCTTGGCGCGTGGAGGCATGGTCACCTGGAAAGATTCACTGATAGCACTCCACACCACCCCGGGCTGAGCAAACAGGAAGGGGATTTTTAAAATTCCCGGGGAGTGTAAAGGGTGGGTCACATGGTTGGTTACCTGAGGCCAGGGCAGTAGAGTTTGAACTGATGACCAGAGTGGCTAGAACAGGCATTGTGGGATACTGCCGAATACTTCTGGAGGCCAGTCACAGCGCATTGGGCGGCCACACCTGCGCCGCAGCGCTGCAGCAGCAGTGCAATACTCGCTATTCCTCTCGGGGATGTGGAGTACATGCAGTGCTGCAACCACGGAGATACAGCGCTGCAAATGCCTTGCCAGTGTGGACGGGGAGTGAGTTACAGCGCTGTAACTCTCAAGTGTAGCCAAGGCCTAAAACTGCAGCATTGCAGTGGGTGTTCTATACGACTCCTGCATTGCTTGGTTCCACCCTGCTCTCCACTTGCTCTTTGCAGTAACATCCTCAAAGCGTATATTAACCAGAGCTGGAAAACAAGGAGAAAAAATATTTGTAACTAGGATTTCCCCTCACTTGCATCCACTGTCCTTTTAAATTGCTTTTCGTGAACATTTGTGTAAGTCAAGTTTCATCCTTTGACAGAAAATGAATGTTGGGCCTGGGCCAAGATTTCTAAGCGTCACAGATAAAGTCAGCTCTCAGCAAGACTGTCGGTGCCAGCAAGGGGCGCAGCGATACCAACTCTCACTACAAGTGCCAGTTGTAGGAGCGATTCCTGGTTTGTACGTGGCGGGACGTGCTTCTCCTCAGGGACATGTTCAGACTAGTCAGCTAAGAAGAATCAGGGCAGCTTTCTTTTAACTTCTCTTTAATCACATCACCGCTCTAGGCCTCAATTTACCCATCTTTGAACTGGGCATTATAATGTTCACCTGTCTCACAGGGAAATTAGGAGGCTTAATTAGTTAATGTTTAATGATTTCAGATCTGCAGATCAAAGACACCCTGGCTCCTTAGATGCTGAAGGTGACCTAGTGAGGCTTTTGTAACTAAAAAACAACAGGTCTGTTTCTTACACCTTGGGCACCTTGATTGCCTTCATTGAGGTTGCATAGAGTGCTAAGGCAGGGCCAGTGTGGCTCTTCACATGCAAAGGTAGCTATAAATTTGCAAATGTTTTATTTCATATATGACAACACTGCTCCGTTTATTCTTTTCTAGGCCTCCTTAACAAGAAGCACACAGGACCCAGAGAACAACAACTCCTCCGCTAGTGAGTAAGTAGCATATCAATGTGACATTTGGCAGAAAGGCCCGTCTTCCTCTCACGTTACATCTTTAGCACCAGGGTGTGACAGTAGCAAATCACTTGATCACATATTGTGTGTCTCAGGGTAGAGAAGGCCCCTTCCTCTTCTTTACCCCACCACACGTCCCTTTGGAGCCCCCACACCTTCACTGCTGCTTCCCAAGTACCTCAGCTCTGAAGGAGCACAGATCTCAGAGTTTAAGGCCAGAAGGATACCAGATCATCTTGTCTGACCTCCTGTATGTCACAGGCCACCAACACCAGCCAGCACCTGCACACTAGATCCAACAAATGAAATGAGGCCAAAGTATCACAGCCCACAGGAGACTAGACTGTTGTGTGCCATAGGCAGAGAATAGGGTGGACCGAGGTGCACCAGTGCGCAAGGCCCTGCAATGGGAACCTCTGCAGGGAGGGCCTGAGGTGGGAGTAGAGGTTGTAATGGGTGCATGTGGAAGGGAGCAGAGATCAGCAGGAAGAGAAGACTATCCCTGCGTACCTCCTGGGTACACATGAGGAGGGCTCCTGTGCTGTGGATATCTGGAGGTCTGCAGGAAAGGGGAGTGGAATCAGAAGAAATTCCACCCACACAGTCGCCTGCACCCCCCCAGGACACATTCCCTTAGGAGAGCCAGGCTTCAGCCGGAGCACAGCACGGAGTTTCAGTCCTGAACAGTCTTGGGTGCAGAGGAAGGGAGATGGGTCATGTGGACTTCAGAAGGTCCTCATCCTTAGGGCAGCAATCCATTGGACCTTCCAGCAGCTGGGCAGGGCCCTGGGCAGGAAGGGTGATCTAGAGAATAGTGCACTAGACTGGGGCACAGGAGACGTGTTCAATTCCTGGCTCAATCACAGGCTTCCCATGTAATTGGAACAAGTCACTAAACCTCCAGTCTGTAAATGGGGTGATAACCTTTCCTGTGTAAAGCAGTGATAATGCTTCCAGACTTCCTGGATACATTCCATAAATGACTGGTTGTGAGGAGCTCAGATACTGCGATGGCAAGGACCACACCAGTATCTGGCTAGAACAGGCCACAGAGAACTGAGGGCTAGGTCCCCACAACACAGGTGCAGGTGTTCTGGGTGCCGCCATGCTACTCTTTTGGGCCCAGGGGGGATATTACTACTTGCACCAGTGCAGTCACACAGGGGCAAACTGCAGTGGCCCAGCTCTCTTGGGTTGATAAGGCTTGTGAGATAACTTCCCTTTCAACTGCACTCAGGTGAACCGAGCTGCCCTCCTCTTCACGCTTCAGGGAGATTCCTTCCCTTTGGTTCACAGTCACACCGAGCAGACACAGAACGCAGCGGCCAATCAGCCTCTTCCATGGATTCGTGAAGGCTGGTTGATTAAAATGATGCATGTTTGTATAGCAGGAAAGGAAAGAAAATCTGAAACAGTATGTCCAGAAGCAAGAGCAATGGATCCCAGACTGCTCTCCTATGACTGCCTACAGGGAGGAGCACTGGGAACTGTAAGATTGACATGTGAATGGGGTACTGATGAAAGATTTAAAAAAAATCACCCTCTTACACCAAACAGTGACTCTCTTGTTTTTAAGCAGCTTTGTCCCTCCAGAAGGAGGTGTAGATCAGTCTGAGTGAGAATTCTGGCGATCATGCTGTGACCTATTAACCATAGACATCACTGATGGATGTGACATGAGAGCACACATGTTGGTGGCACAATCCTTCCTCCCTGCCAGCTCACTCCTTTGCTTTTGAGCCAGTAGGGAATTGAAATTGATGAGAATCCCACTTTCTGAGCAAGATTCTCATCAGCTCCAGTCCCTTGACAGCTGACAAGAATGGTGGGCAGTGGTCATACAGGCAGGCACTTAGTGTAAAAAAAAAAAAAAAAAACCCACCAACCCCTCTTCTGACATTTCCCAGCACCCTCATTGGCCTTTGCACCATGATTACAGTTATTCAGTTTTGTCCGGGAAGGGCTGCTGCTGAGCCTTTTGGTGAACTTGATCATGCCAAAAAGTGAGTCAAAAAATTCCCAAACAGACCAAAGCAGCTATAGGCTCTGGCTAATCCGCACCCCATCTTGAGCCTCTGTGAGGAACTTGCTTATCTTTGAAATGCAAAGGAACTAATTGAGATTCTAATATAGAAAGTGGGTCACCACTGGAAAATTCATACTCTCAAAGGAAAATCTGGAGAATAGGTGGGAGGCCGTCTGGATGAAGGAGAAAGCAGGCTGGAGCCAGCTACAGGTCTATGATGAAGAACCAGGACCTTAAACTCATTTACACTAAGGCCACTTTGCTCTGCCAGTTTTAAGAGGTTTTAAAATGGGAGTAAATACAAACTTACTCCCACTTTACACTGTCTAAAGTGACCTTAGTGTAAATAACAATCAGGACTATAGTCTTTAGCATCAAGAACTCTATGGGAACATCTACTAAACTAATTTTGGCAACAGAATTTCAGTTTTTGGAAAAGTCAAACCAACTAAGTAATGTTTAATTCCTAGAGTTGTCTTATCTTTCACTGGATCAGATTCTGCTCCATCACACTGGTATAAATGGACCTTTGTGGAGTTACTTTGGATTTACATTGGTGTGCCTAAGAGCAGAATCAGCCCCAGGTGGACCGATTCAGGGCTATCACTGATACAGCCAATCACTGAAGAAATAACTAAACCAATAAAACAAAGGAGAAGAATGAAAAGAAGAAACAAGAAAAGTGGAAAAGCTAAAGAAAAAGAAAAAAAGAAGATGCAGCCTCATTTGCGGTATCCCTTCCTGAAAAGCAGCTCCACAAAGGCAGTAACTCTACTTTGGATGCTGTCCTGCATCACTCTGTACCCCATAACCACAGCTGTCAAAGATGAGATCCATCCAGATAGAGGCACATCCACAAAATAATGGAGTGAGTTGTGAGAAATTGTAGCCCGGGAGGCTTGAAGATCCAATCTTAACAGGGCAGACAACACCATAAGACAGTCAGTGAAGAAGTGGACATTTCTTCTCCAGAGGTCCAGCAATGAACTGGTGTACATCTCACTCAGGCACGGCGGCACCAACATCCCTCAAATGGGTGATATATGTGACGTTGCGATGATCACTCATGCCTTCCGACATGCCTGGACGCCATGATGAGGAATATCGCAGCGAGTGCTATGCATGACGTCATCAGGAAGTGAATCACTAGGACCCCCTCCAACCAAGATGTTGCCACCTGCCTGAGCGGACCCCTGGAAGGCAACTTTGGAAGAGATGGGAGAGACTTTGCTTCACTTTGGACTCATGCCCGCAGTGCTACACAACGGCTGGAGAAGCATATTGGCTGCCACCGGACGTGGTGTGAAGAACGTTAGGAACTGGGAGTCCTGGTGCCACAGGTGAAGAATACAGAGCACACAATCATCACTCCGAGAGCTAGGTGATCTTGGATGGAATTGTAGTGCAGCTGCCAGGCTCTGGAATGGGGCTTGCAACTACACAAGACATGAGGTAACATCTCATTGGCATAGCCGTACTTTTTGCATCACTTGTCCCGATTCCCATGGTGGATGGCTCCATGCAGCTGGACGCAGTTGAGCCAGGCCCTGTGGATGAATCTCCAGTCAGCAAAGCGGGTGAAACTGTCCCTTGGGAGGTAGTGGTTGCTGGCATCCCACTTGCACGTCACTTTGAAGGCCTGCCCTGGTCCAGCTTCTGTTTCAAGTTTTCCACATACTGGCAGCGGATGGCATCCTTCAGGAGAGGGACATCTATTTAGAACACATCACCGGACATTGGCAATACCAGGAGAGATGAGTTGGAGCGCCACTGAGAAGTGAAGTTGGGAAAGTAACTGAAATACTTTTCTGATGGATTGTATTTACTGAGGGTCAACCTATCCTAAATTCTCAATTATTAAGGGACACTATACACTCATTGCTGTTTGCTTTCCACACGCTACTCTTAACATAACTTTTTATGAGTGATGTACCTGAATATTTGGATGCTAATATTTTATCTGTATTGTTAAATTTATTAACCCTAATTTGGGATATTGCAGGTTATATACAGTATGTATTTTATGACTTTTAAACCAAAAACTTTGTACTTTTGGATAATTTAAGCATTATACCCAGATGTATAGGCACTCTTTCCTTAACCTGTGTATTAGATAATTTTAACATTAGCTTTAATAAAAATTTTAAATCAGTTTAGTATTTTAGACACCCTCTGTCAGGGCACTGTGACCTAGCAGCAGGATGGACCAGATGACCTAATATGTCTTTTCCTTTTCTAATTACTATGATCTTATGACCACCCCTAAAGCTTGTATTTCTAGTACAGTGTTTAAGCAAGGCATTGATTTGGTCCTGAGTCAATAGTCACATTTGCTTTAAGAAGGAACTTTAATGATTTATTCTTTACTTTCCTATCCTCAGAAAAAGGATAAATCGGTCTTAAAAAATCCAAAGTTTCAATTCCAGATTTCCTGCTACGTCTTCTCTGCAGTGACCATCAACTCCCCAGTGGACTGTGGCAAGGGTGTCACAGCAGGCAGTGACCCTCCTTAGTTCTGACAACACAAAGCAGAATCGTGGACGTTAAGGAAAAGGCCTTGTGGAGCCTCTAGTCCATCCCTCTGCTAGGGCAGGATTTCCCATGTTGTACATTGCCTAGCGGAGGGGTTGGCAACCTGCGGCACACGTGCCAAAGGCGGCACGCAAGCCGATTTTTACTGGCACATTGGCCGAGGTCCCGGCCGCCGCCCCCACTCAGCCCGCTGCCGGCCTGGTGAATGGAACCCCAGGCCGGCAGCGGGCTGAGTGGGGCCAGTGGCTGGGACCCCAACTAGCAGGAGCCTGCAGATGGAACCCCAGAACGGCGGCTGCTCAGCCCGCCGCCAGTCTGGGGTTCTCTCTGCCTGTAGTGTATTAAATTTCTCTCCGTAGGAATGTGCTACTTGCGGAGCACGAGGACTGACGGCCGTAAGTAGTACACCGTAGCACATTTC